CTCTCTCTCTCTCTCTCTCTCTCTCTCTCTCTCTCTCTCTCTCTCTCATGGGACATTCTGTGTATTTCCTGATTAAGATATAAAAACCTCAAATATCAAGAGCTTTGGAAAAGTCCCCCATCAGTGATTAAAGTGGAAAACTGTCATAGATTTAAGCTGTTCAGATTCGCATGACAGTATTGTACAAGTGATGCTGTTTTTTTAAAAAGAGGTCCCTTCAAACATAACATCTGCACGGCACGCTACATTGATGAAAGTTTACGCAACGTTGTCAGTGGCTTGATGGCACTAGATAAGTGCATGTTTCCCTCCATGACAAGCTGCCTGACATTTTGATCCATCAGGATTACACATCTGTTTAAATACTGGCCTTAACCCACTTTGAGAGGATGGTGCATTAAGCACAATAATCCTCTGTGAAACTGTAAAACAGACACAAAGTAGAAAAGCTTTAGTGTGGTATTATACCCTCCAACTCTGGTCTATATTTCTTTTATTACATGCTCTTTTTGTCATCAAAAGAATATTGTCAGGTGACTATTGACCTGATCCTTGCCCTCTGTACTATTGGCTGCTTGTAGTTTTGCTGATCTATGCAGGATTATTAGAGATTAGTCTGCTGTTGCAGCCACTGCAAGCCGCTCTGGATAAGATAAAATACCTAACTTGTGAAATATAAATACATCACATAAGGGCTTCCTTTTGAAAGACAACCAATGCATTAACTTGATTATTATATAATTATATTATACTGTTCATCCACACGTTTTTATAGAAATAAACAAGGTAATGTTGCAGGGTGGTGAAGGATGTTTGTGATTAGGAAGGATGTTGGCTTGAACACTGCTCTTCCTGAATCCTTGTGTGCTACAGTGTGTGCTGCAGGAGATTACATTCCCTGCAGTCCTTACGCATTAGATTTCAGTCTGTGTTATGCATTTGCATTTATATAATTTGATGTATTAAGGCAAATTCCCAGGATGACAGAAACTTGTCTGTGCAGGAGCCAACCCTCTTAAGACATGGCCGATACACGTCCTCATAAAAAAAAGGCATTTTCCATGCCTGTCTTTACTCCTCATCTCACTGTTTCTGTTGCCCTGATGGATTTTCTGTGGTCTGCTTCTTCATAGATCAAGAGTTCTTTTAATGTTTAGAGCAGACCAGCAGCTCTGGAAACTGAGGCATAAACTTATATATTCTGCAGTTCCTCGGTTTCTCTCTCCCGCTGTGCCTTTATCTTTTAAGACACATGAACATAAGAAATACACAGACAGACATAGAGGTTAAACAGAAATATGCATGCACATAGAGTATATTCGCGTACACCTGCGCTTGGCTTTCCTGCTGTGGCGTTCAGGTGTATGGGCGTGCCTGGTTATGCTTTTAGTGTGGAGCAGCTTCTGAAGGGATTTCATTTATTTTTCATTACTTCTTTGGCAACTTCCCCACCTGGAGAGAGCAACACCGTAACACTATTTGTATCTCATCCATCCCCTGATGTGAACTGATATGATTAGAGCGCTATGGTTTTTTACAAGGGAGGGATGTTTAGTGAGAGGGAAAACAAAGGCTTGACTGTGGCAATTTCCACAAAGGACTGCTTTAATTGCACAACCATTTAAGTCACACAAGACACGGTCACGGTCACTGATAAACGTTGGGCTTTTGCCATCCAATAACTGTATTTTCCAGCCTCCTCCTTTCACGGGTGAGCAACAGTGTGCTGCTGAATTTCTTTTGAATAGAAATCAGGCATGACACCAACATGACGCCCAATGTTTTTGTCCTCCTCTGCTACTGAATAAAGCAGTATTTTGCAAGAATCGGTCTACATTTTTCAAGAAATAGACAAACGAACACTTCGCAGTGTAATAGCGCGCGTGTGTGTATGTGTGTGTGTGTGTGTGTGTGTGTGTGTGTGTGTGCAGGACTTCACCTGGTTGGTTGGTATTTTATCACCTTACTGAAATATTTTCCTCAGTTATGTAACTGAAAGACAATGAAGAATTTACTGCCATGCCATAATAATGCTGCACTACAACGAGTAAACAATGGGCTTCTGTAACAGTTATCACTCTGAATGACTGCAGATAGCACACTAAATGACACCAGTTGAAACCAGGTGTACAGCGTTAGTAGAGAGGTTGCACTGAGAGACAACACAGATTGATCCGTGTGTCTGTCTTGACCTTTAGCATCAGAGAATTAACTGCCTTTAGGAAAACATTTAGTCTATATCAAGTCACATTTACCAGATTCAGAGAATCTGAATCTGAGGGTTCTTTAAATTGTCTTGTTGTCAAAAATGGGGCCAGGGTCTTTGTTGCAAACATTTGAGGCTGCTTCGTAATGGAAACTTGGAGAACCTCTTGACTTAAATTCCACTCTAAAACCTCAACACGGCAATGCCACTTGCATGTCTGAACCTGACACCATAAATGTTGCATAACTTTAATTGTGGCATTTGCACATTTATAAGCATATGCAGAATAATCAGCATTTTTGTGGTGGTCAGTTTGCAGTTCCTGGATATTTATGGACATCACAGTGCACATAACACCCCCAAAACAGCTCTATAACAATTCAATGGGGATTTATAAAATGTCTATGCTACTGGAAAATACGTTTTTAGTCATCTTATCAGTGTTTTCATCCGTTTTGCATAATTTAAGACTCCTGTAACATTGCCACAGGTGATACTCTTTGAGTTTATAGCAACTTAATGATACTTTCGGCACTTAATTCCTGTATCACTGCCTCTTAATATTGCAATAGGGACCCGTCCTGTGGTATACGATGGGAATCTTGAGGTAAATTAGTTCTTAATGCTATGCTATATCCACATTGTATTACAAAGATAGTGCTATGGAAGTGTTGTGGAGGATCATGGTATACCAGGAAGTGTTATAGTGATCTTATGCTGTTCAATTCAAAAATATGTTGTGTGTGTAGAGCGAGAAAGTAGGAGAGAGATTAACTCAGAGTATATTAAAATACACACAACCTCTCTTTAGATTCGTTCCTCCCCACCGGCCAGACTTGCCTATGTTATGTGGGGAAGAGGGGCGGGACCTCGCAGCCGAGAAGGGCGTTCTCTCTGCGGTCAGACCGGGCAGAGTCATCCCGAGGGGTGGGTCCTCCGGCAGCAGTAAAGGAAAACCCACCTTTTTTCATTGTTAAGGACGCGGTGGAATGTGATGGTTTGATCTCAAACGGACCAGGGAGGGGAATATCCAAAAGGAAAGGACCGAAGAAAGTGATTTAGGGAAAGGGGGGGAAACAAAAAACGCAATTCCCCCTGTGTCCTCCAACTCTCTGGTTGTGTCTCAGAATATGTGGATGAACTTGTCCTCGCCGTGTCGGCAGCAGCGAGTCCTACCGTCCGCATGAGCTCCAGCCGTGTGAAGTTGTGGATTTAACGCTGAGTTGTTCTGTCCCGGCGGTGGACCAGCTAAAGGTAAAGTTAGTCTTTATTGCTGAGAGTGTTTTGGGTTTCATGGGGAGCATGGGGACACGGTTTTTGGGGGGGGGGTTTCGACAGCGGCTTCCTGAGTTGGATCCAGTCAATCGGGACTGCATAAGTCTGAACTGCGGCAAGTTTTTCAACCCTCCTCTTCCTCCTCCTCCTCCTCCTCTGCTGCTTTTGTAGCCAAAAGGAAGCATCCAGGACTGCGGTGAAAACCTCAGGTGGTTAAAATGTAGCGGTGCACATTTCATTTTGTTAACATGTCGCAGTTTTTATTCAAATGTTTCGTGTATTTGACGTCAACGCACTAAATAACGCCAAGCTTTTTTTAGGCTACTGCATAACAAGCCATAGTTCATAACACGAGGTTGATGAAAACAACAAAAAAATCGGAAGTTAGCTTCATGTAAACGCGCTTGGTATTTATGTCGTCTGTTTTGGGAAGGATATCTTCGAAATGTAATTCAACTCAAGTCGTTAGGAATTTGAGGGTATTTTTTATTTTTTTTTATGAACGAAGTCAAAATGTTTCAGTATCGGCAACATAAACTAGCATATGTAGACTTTGTACCTGACTGGCTCTCTTTTCCTTCAGTGTAAGGAAGCCTGAAACAGTGTTTACACACAAACACAGATATAGTTCCTACACGTTGACTCTAAAGTTTAGAGTACTTTTACAAAACGGTTGATATGTGCTAGATATGACATTATGTTAGTAGCTACTGCAGTAGTTTGTGTAAAGTAGGATACAATGTATTGACTGTCTTAAATATATTTTGTTGCTGGTTTAGTCCCACTTTGGGCACTATGATATCTCAACTGAGCAGAATAGTCCCCCTAAGGACATTACACCCTGGAATAGACGTGTGGAGAACAGACACGAACCACTGAAAGAAGGTTCTAGTGGTTTCACTTTGAAGGGAATTTGAACACCACCTGCATTTCGGTGTTTAATCAGTTGAATGTGTTCACGGTTAATTAAGCCGTTTTGACAGCAGCTGTGGTGACAAATAAGTTGTGCAAATATTCCTGTGCAGTGGTCAGTTTTTGGATGGTGAACAACCTCAGTGTAACTGTCAAAGAGCTGAATCCACCTCGGATCTATAGTGCTGAAATTAGTAATTAATAGACAGAAACATAATGGTAATTTATCAAGGAAAAATGCCAAATATTCTCTGGTTCCTGCTTCTCTAATGTGAGGGTTTGTTGCGTTTCTCTGTCAGTGTGACTGTCATGAATATTTTGGAGTTTTGGGACGCATATAATAAGCAATTTGAAAGATGTCACTTACAGCTTCGGGAGGCCTTTTTTAAATATAATTGAATAGCTAAATTAATAGAAGTTGACGCATTAAGTCATAACCAAAACAACCAGAAGTTGTAAGACATGTTTGCTCTGTTTAAGTTTGGGTGTTTGTTTTCCTTCACGTGGGATGGAATGTGTTGGGCCTGCACATGAATGCAACTAAGGTGGCAGAGCACGAAATCTGAACAGTGTGTGCCCTGTGCTGCCTCACCAGAACAGGTAGGTGTGTGTGTGTGTCAGTTAACAGCAGAAAAGGTAGTTGTAGTGGTGGAATACTAATCTGCCAGGTGGGGCTCGTAAAGAGCAGCACATGGAGGGGACCTGCCTTGACCTGTTTCAGACATGAAAGAGACAAAAAGAAAAATCGCTGATGACTTTCCAGTAAGGCTCACCCTCCCAGCCAGCTGTACATCATACCAGCTGAGCTACCAGCTTGAGCTGCTGTGAACCCCCTTTCCTCCTGGACTTAACACAGGCACTTGCATGGCAGCTTGTCCCGGCAGTGGATCTGCGAAGAGGGTTTCCTGTGGTATTTTGGAGGGGATTGTGACCCTGCCTGTGGAGGGAATGTATGCAGTTTATGCCAAACGTTGCGAGAAATGCAAAGGGAAAATCAAATGAGAGTACCAGCAAAGAGTGAGATGTCAAATTTTTCCCCGATCAGTGCTTCTTCCGTGCATGTACAGTCTTTGGGAAATCATGCGGCACGTTTGGTTTGGTTGCATTGGCCCTCAGGGGGACTAATTCAGAGCAACTGAACACGATTCCTCAGTGATGATAGCGGTTAATGCTGACACAGTAAGGGTGGCCGCCACCACCTGTTTTGTGATCTTGAAAGTGACTTCGATGGAAACAAGTGAAAGCTACACAAAGACCGAGTTTGCGCCATGTCCTGTCCAGGAGTTGTCGCCTGCCATGCAAAGTAATAATCATAGCCCTTGCTCCTCTTTTATGACCTGGGCTATACCACGCATGATTGGTTTTCCACTCCGCAGAATGCCGCGACCGCCCTATGAAACTGCCTGCGCTGCTTTGGGTGAAACCAAAAACTAATCATTATGGGTGTCCAATAAGGGTAATTATCAGACTAAGCACTGGACCTGGGGATTACAGAGTGGCTAAATGACTGCTCTGGGGATTAAATTAAAATATTGAGGTTTTCTGCCTGGGAGAATCAAACCGCTGGGAATGTCAAACCCCAGCCCGTCGGTGGTAGTATTACTGCCACTTGGCACATCAAGGTTTATGCACAGAGCCTCTGCTGTTAATGCAGCACCGTCACATCAGTGTGGAATTACAGTACACGGACGTTGACGTAATTTGTTGCAAGTGCGCACAAATAGAAATGGATATTTGGATGGAAACGCGTATTGAGTAATGTATTATTCTCAAAATCATCAAGAAGAGGGCAGAACACCACTTTCAGTGCATGGCCTTCAGTATTAAAACAGGTAACGCACCAATAACATCTAACAATTATCAACTCATTAATTAACTGTTAACATAATGAAGACTCTCTCAAATGAATACATATTAAAAGAAAAGTCAGCACCCATATGAGCAGACCTATGCATCCTAATATGCTGTAATGGATATAGCTCAGATAGAATGTGGACCAGATGGTGTTGCTTACTGTTAGTGGTAGACTCTCACTTTTAGCCTCCGTAACCCTCTCACCCAGGAATAGAGCAGCGGAGGATGCACACACAGGACTCAGAGTAATATCGCAGGCGTTACAATTCGGGGGCGTCCTTGAAATAGCACAGATGAATCATGGTCTCTTAGAGGCTTGTATTAAAGCCCACACACAGCCTGTGTGTGTGTGTGTGTGTGTGTGTGTGTGTGTATTTTGTTATAACGCAATAATGGGACTCCGTATCCGGGACAGAGGCTGCTGTTGACAATACGAAGGCCAGCTGCTGAGTATCTATTAGCAGACTTGGAGGAAGATGGCTTAATGCCACGAAGACGCACACATGAGACTGTGCATGTACATTCAGTGAGTGTTAGAGGCAGGAAGATCTGACCCTCCAGCTTCCCAGAACGTTGTGCTTTTCTTTTGCGATTGTAAACTGAACATATTGGCAACAATCAGGCTTATCATGAAAAAATAACCAACATTTCAGCTCGTCCGATTTTAGGAGTTGCTGCTGTTCTCCGTTTTACAAAAATTTAAGTTAAATAATTTGAGTTTCTTTACCGCTGAGAACTTAATTTTGGGTTCTTGGAACTATGTGTATGTGGTTTACACCCATCAGAGTCTTGAGTTGGTTCTTCTTTGGATCCTTTCTTACCCTTTTCCTTTCCCCATCACCTCCTTCTGTTTTTGCCTCTCCTCTACTGTATACATTAATTTCCCCCTCTTTCTCCTTTTCTCCCGCTCCTTTTCCCTCTCTTCCCTCCCGCCTTCCTTCCTCCCTCCCTCCCGCTCTGCCAGTTTTCTTTATCAGTGGTGGGCCAGTGACAGGGCAGGGCTCTGTGATTTCAGCTGGAGTTCAAACTACTTGAACCGTGCGTGCATTTGTCAGTTCGTTGTGTGTGTGTGTGTGTGCGTGTGCGTGTTATGTCTGTCTGCCGAAGCATTTTCGCTCTGCGCTGTTCCCAGCCCTGTCGATCTGTCATCGGATACTAGAGGCCGAGAGTGTCAATCACTCAGCGAGTAGTAGCCAGAAGTACATCTCGGCTCTAAGTGTTCACAGGCCTCGCTCAGGCTCTCATTAACGCATACACTGACACACAGAGCAACAGATATGTGCTCTCACTCGTCACAGAATTCAAAGCAAGAATGGATTGTGTTCATACGATTCCTTCTGCGTGTGTGAATGAATCCCCCTCGTTAGTCCTCCAAAGTGTGCCAAACAGCCTCCTCATTACCAGCCGCCCTGGTGGGCTTTCTGTCCCGTGGTGGAGTGGTCACTCACTGAGGCCTCACCACACAGGTGACTGTGAACCAGTGAAGGCTGCAGGTGCACGTGACTGCATCACGTCCAGCACGCAGCAGTAGATATCTACGATAACATTGACTCAAGTCTTCTCTTTTTTTTTTTTTTTTTTTTTTTTTTTTTTTTTTTTTTTTTTTTTTTCACCCCATCAGAGCAGGTGGAAAAAGTAGAGTGAGATAAATGATCTGTTTCCAATCGGCCTTTCCCACGGCAGACGTTTTGACATGTCACAGTAGGAAAAGCACAGGTGTTACTGATAACGATGGCTCTGCTCTATTCAAGTGTTCCAAGTGAGAGTGACATTGAGCCAACGTGCACGGACCTGAAGTCAAAACGGCTAATACACTTGATAAGTCAAAATGACTATCATGAAAAAGGCCTATTCTAATCAGGTTATTTTAAATTATTGTAATTTAACAATGTGCCAGATTTTGATTCGCAATCAGTACACATAAAAAATGGCCGCTCCGACCATCCTGCTACGTTGATTTGAATGGGAATGCCTCTTCTACCGCTTTTCTATTTTTATGGATGTAATACACCCAGATAGTGTATAGGGACCTCTCTAGCTGTATATTCTGGTATACAGTCTGTATTTTGTGTCATAATCTTCAGCAGCATTGCAAGATTGTCTAACCAACACTCCTATTTAACCAGTCAGCCAAACTGACATCTCTGGTATTTACTGACCTGTTATTGAGTTGCTGTGTGGTTGTTGAACCCGTCACATGAACGGCTGGTTAT